CCAATTGATTGATTATGCTTTTTCTTCTTTCTCCCATTCTTTTTGTTTCTTATCAGTGAGAGAAGATTTTTGTTTCTTATCAGTGAGAGAAGAAAGTGAGGGATAAAATGGGAAAAGGAAAATACTTCCTAAATGAATAGTGCACGGAGGATTGCCTCTTTTAATAGAAGAGGGATATATATATATATTACCTACTATCTGAACGTTTGAATAGGGCAAGTATGGTAAATATTTATTTCCTAAAAATTGTTAACTTTACCCTTTGTTATATATAAACTAGTCGTTGACACGTGTGTTCCACGAATTTTGTATTTTTTGTGTTTTTATTAGTGTAGAAATTGTAGATATTAAAAAAAAGTAGTGTAAGATTTATTGGACTATTTAAGAGTCTTGGGAGCATATTATTGCTTCGCTACCGCTCCATCTAACAAGATGATTACTTCAATAGCTGATATTACTGCACAGAGAAACTCACCAAAAATAAAATTGAAAACATTACGTGTATGTAGATAATAATATAAACGTTTGACATATATAAAGATTGCAGGTTTATAAGGGTACGAAATATTTGATTAAATCTATTGTAAATGCCAAATAACATTGAAATAAAATGAATAAAAAAGTACTGAGGATGAAAAATTATACAGTTAAATATTAAAAAATGAAGTAAAAGAAGAACAAACAATATGGAATGAGCGAAAACAATTTATGAGAAATAAGCTTTAACGCATTAGGAAAAATAATTAACACACCTATTAACATTCTCCATCACATTTTGTCGGGCAATTTAGTTTCTGCTACAATAGCCAATTCTGTATGCATCTTATCAAATGAATTTTCAACTCATATAAGTTGATCAGATTAGAAACTATACACTTCATTAAAATAAAAAGGAAAACCTTAGAAAAAGTATATTTTTAGCAAATTCGTTGAATATTTCAGACTATGTTCCATTTTCTTGAGATCTACAAAATCAACATTCTTGCGCTTAAACATTAATTCAACATATTAAGCAGCAATTTTAGCCTGTAACTAAAAACTACTCATTTTCTAGAATGAGAAGGCCATGTGATTGATGGTCCTATGGTTATGAAGTAAGAATATCAACTTATAACTAAATTAGAATTTAAACAACAAACATGTAAAACATAAATAAAATGAACAGTTTTGGAAGATTTCGTTAATAAAAAGTTGTTAACAATTTCTTTTACCAAACTTAGCTATAAGTAAATTATTAATTTTTTGAACGATATGCTAGAAAAAATAGCATATATAAGCTTATTTAGCACAAAAAGCTTTTTAAAACTTAGCTAAACATGCTTTCAATAAATAGCTTTTTAAACTTTAGCTAAACATGCTTTTAATAAAGCGATGAAGTCATTAGAGAATCACCATAGTTATCATGTGAATAAATTCTTTGAGATTTCAAGCGAGATGTTAAGACTTCCACCCATAACACAAAGAGCGAATCAAACACCAAAAATATAAACATTAAAAAAGTGAATTACCGGTGCCGCAAGAAATAGAAAAGTTTTACAAACTCTAATAGTCTTTATTATGTGTGTGTGTGTGTTCCAAATGTGTACATTTGACAGGTGAGCACAAAAGACAACTGATTTCATATGTTACCTTTATGTTTGTAATTGTACTGTGGGAGTCTCTTTAGTTGTGTTCTTTAGTATGAATCAAATGAGTGTAATAGATATTTTCAGCAATTTTTTGCGCAAATATGGTTATCCATTAATAACAAGATCAACGAGGATGTAAAAAGTATTCATTATAGCAAATGTCTACCTCAATGTTTCGTCTGTATATAGTCATCCTGTCTAGAGAAACTAATTCTATTGGATATCCAAAAATGAAGTATTCTATATATTTGAGCAAAA